CTTCGATTTTTTTTATCGGGTTCAGCAGAAAATTGGTACGACGCAAATATAATAAAAATTGGTTTAACTAATTGGTCAGAATGGAGAGCATCGTTTCTCACAGTATTTGCTGATAAAGGTTGGAAAAAAAATAAGAACGGCATACAATTTTAAATATCTAGGCGGTTCACTAATAGATTATGCTTTAGCCAAGGAAAGCTTATGTTTAGAAGCTGAATTAAACGCCACTACGATATCAAGAATAAATATGATCGTCATCGGCTTACCACTAGAAATTCAGAACCAACTTGACCGTGAAGAAATCACAACGATTGAAAAATTGTACAGAGAATTGCGAAGACTCGAGGAAAGCGTTCACATAAAACAAAGATTCCGAAACAATTCTTCAGACAAAGAAAATACAACCAAAACAAATGCGTATATACAAAAGAACAATGCAGATACTAAAATTAAGTCAGAAAACCAAAAAGCAAGATATGGAATTCATTCTTTGAATAATGAAACTATAAATAAGTCAAATTTTGCTACATCAGAAAAAAATATTTATCCAAAAATAAAGTCAAATTTTAATACATCAGAAAAAAATATTGATCCAAGAATTAAGAAACCATGTTTTATATGTGAAGAACTAGGTTGGAAAAATCTACATAGTTCTACAATCCATAGTTCTACAAAATTCGAACCAGAATACTTATTGTATGGCACAAGGTCAGCTATCATCCCAGATGACCTACCAGAAAGCGATATAATAGCAGATTGAATGCAAGCATGTAAGAATTCCCAGCAAAACTTTGAAATGAACAAAAAACGAATTGATAAAAATCGACAAGAAAATGAATTTAAAGTGGGCGACCAAGTCTATATCCAGAATGGTAATAGACTCAACCGAAGTAAGATGGATAAAATAAGAGTTGGTCCGTTTAAAATTCTCAAGAAAGTTTCTTCATCGATTTTTGAAGTAGACTGTGGAAGAAAAAAAAAACAATCTAATCTTTTTCATATTAACAAATTGTCACTTTATATTCCTCAAAAAGTAACGTGAAGGGGGGAGATGTAAATGTAACCACATTTATGTATTTATTTCATATCTATGATATTCAATATCTTTGTTATATGTTATATGTTTGATCTTTGTTTGGGTTTCGATAAATGTGCTTCGATAAATGTGCTGCGATAAATGTGCTGCACCACGTGATTGACATATTTTATAATTTATTTGATTTATGAGTTTCGTATGAATAAGCCTGTAATTGATTACTGTTTTACAGGTATGTTTTCTTTAATTTATATCTCTGTATTATTTTATATTATTTGATTATATGACATTTAATTTGTTTGAATAAACTGTTTTACAGATTAATAAATCAGGTTTTATTTAGAAACAATCTTACATGTATTTAAAATTTTTAAATTAAAACTAACATAATTAACGAAATAAAAACATTTAGTTAAGCAATAATAGCAATAAAAGACACGTACCACAGTTGAAGTTGCAGTCTTCGCAATAATAACTGTTTGAGATACAACTCTTCGTGTACAGGCAAAAAAACATACCGGGTAAACATTGCTTAGCAGTGGCTCTAATTGACGCAGCAGCAGAAGTGGTTGTAGCTGAAACATCAAAAGGGGTTATAGTTAAAACCTCAAAAGTTATTGTAGCTGACGTTGTAAATGTGGTTGTAGTCGATTCAAAAAAAATTTACTTCAATTGGATTTTGATTCAATAGTAATTTTTTTTTATTAAACTTTCAAGGTGCTTTTTAACGTAAAAATATACAAACCAACACAACAATCACAATTTACCACTGCAGTTCAATTCATCGAAACCATCTTCACAATCATTATGTCCATCACAAACCCATTTCGACGTCACGCATCTACCAGAGGGGCACGCAAGCTGACCTTGCAGCATTCAGCGGTCACTTCTGTTTTGGTAAATTATGGTTTTTTAATTTCATAATTTTTCCATAATATCATAATTTTACAACGACCAGCAGTAACTAGATATTTTAACAAACATGTTGTAATAAAATTTATTTTCTATGGAATAATTATGAATTAAAAATATATATACAATAATTAAAATATAAAAAAAAATGTAATAAGCAAATGACTAGTTAAAAAAACATGCCAGCATATGTCATCGCATACGTTGCCAAGAGGAAACTTATCAAAACTGAGCGGTTTAACATAATTTTTAAAGAAAGAAAACTCAATTAGAAACTTTATTTACGAAGTAATACACTTATTTATATTTATTATATTTTTCCAATAAATAATTTCAATCTGTTAATAATATTATTAATTTTGAGTGAAAAATAAGTAAAAAGCAAATTTTATTCTGAAACTTCTGTTTATAACATCCGAAAATTATTGTGTGCATGTGTGTGCGCGCGCGCGCGTGCATGTGTGTGCGTGTGTATGCGTGTGTGTGTGTGGTGAGTGTGTGTGTTAGTGTACGTGTGTAATAACGCAGTATAGAATGCAATAATATACAATATAAAGCTAAAAAAATGAGCTGAGTGTAACAATGAGCCGTCATAAGTTTAGTGCACGTTTAGTACAATCACCGATACACACATACTCACATACACATAATAATAGTAATAATAATAATAATAATCAGTGGCGTCACTAGGGGGGTGCGGGGGGTGCGGACCGCACCGGGTGACATCCTCACAGGGGGTGACACCAAAATATCACTGTATATGTTTTTATGTCCCTCCATGAAATTATTCTTATCATTAATTCAGCCTAACCCGCCCAGCGCCCAGAAATGTATTATGAATAACATTTTTTTCGTTCAAATCATTTTTGTATTCGACATTTATACCATTCAAATTCGACGTCCGAATTATTAAGCGCCGCGGCCGAGCACATTTAACTTGTTCGTGTTTATAAATTTTGCTAAGAATGCTGTATGTCTATGGGGTGTCATGAGAGGGGTGACACCATGAGTTACCGCACCGGGTGACACCAACCCTAGTGACGCCACTGATAATAATAATAATAATAATATTGAACCTCAAAAATCTAAAATCAAATTTCATAAATATATGAATGATTATAGTCATCAATTAATAATAATAATAATAATAATAATAGTTCGACAAGAAACCTCCTATGAGCAATGCGATAGCAAGCTAACAATTTGTTCAATTAATCATGCTAGTGAACGTCCTGAAACATGTTAGTTATTATTATTATTATTATTATTGTTGTTGTTTTGTGGTTTCGTTGTTGTTGTTGTTGTTGTTGTTGTTGCTGTTGTTGTTTGTGTTGGCTTATGTTTGCAGGTTAAAAAGCTTGCAAGAGAATTTGATATTATGATTGTGACTATGGCTTTGTTTTGAGTAGTAGTCTAACTATTTCAATATATTGTTAGTAGTAATTAGCATATGTTAGTATATTTACTATATAAAAATCTAATCAGTGCAAATCTAAAAAAAAAAAACTTGGTTAAAATTTTCTTTTAACACACAATAGAAATAGGAGGCAAATGAACATATCAACATAACAAGTAACATAGTATATAGTATAATATCAATCAATCAATCTTCGTTTAGCGTCCAGAAACCCAGTTCCCCGTGGTAAGACGTGTATATAGTATAATATGTGCATAGTATAATAAGTAATAAGTGTTAAGTAGTAAGTACACTCGTAAGAATTCCAACTCGTCATTCATTGAATTTCAAGTTCATTGGACTATTTTTAAGTGATGGCGAAATAGTATAGAGGTGCCAGGAGCTGTTTTCCATCCACCTGGTCTGATTTGAGTAAAAAGAGATGTGATGGAAGCGTGGTTTTCACAAACGTTGTGTGTGTGTGTGCGCGCGTGTGTGTGCGTGTGTGTCCATACTGCTGTCTGTGTGTGTTGTATAACTTTTTTTCAATTTTAAAATGTTTGATTCTAACTATCAACCACTCTTTTAACGCACACGTATTTTTTAATTAAAAATAGCTCCAATTTAAAAATAACGAACATAACTATTTTATAAAAACGTCATAAAAATTTTCAAATTTAAAAAAAATTAGACTGAGATGTTCTACTTGTTCTGATATTGACTGTTTAACGATATCTAAGAACTGTTACTTTTAGTTAGAATCTGTATAAACATTTGATTTCTTTTGCAAAAAAGCAGAGAAACAAATTACACTGTCATGTCGATCTCACAGAGGCTAGGAAATCATCCCAAACAGCGTATGGTTCGAGTGCGGCGTATTGTATGTAGTACGCGTTGCCTTCAAACCATTCGGCTCACCAGGGTTCCAGCTTGAGAAACTCAGTGGTTGATTGACATCAATCAAAGTTACATGTTAAAACACAAATTATACTTATTATACAAAGGTACATGTTAAGACTTATCCGTTTATTCACATGATTTTAAATTTGAAATTTTATTCAACTGCAACAAACATGGCCATGACAACAGATACTACTGATATTTGTGCAGTTTAATAAAAATAACAGGATGGGAACCTGTTAAACTTTTCTCAACGGTTGTACAGTTTCTAAACTGACAAACACTTTTAGGTACGTGAAGTTGTTCTTGAACCGGAGGCATAGCCACGGACATAGCCAGCTGAAGACTTCAACCTTCTGTAATTCCGTATTCATATTTCTTTTTATTCTTTAACCAGAAGCTCTCAAAAACACAGAACTGCTTACTTAGGCTACTCTTCTCTACTTATACATCTCATTTAAAACTTTTCTTTCACAAAAGGGGTGCCATCCACACAGCACGACGTGCAAGGTATGCACGAGCACCATATGATAGTGTTTGAACTTTGGACAGACAGTATTCCAACCGGGTCACCTAATATCAACGCGTGACATTGCATTTTTTACAGACTGAGCTAGTTTGCCGATTTTTTTTAGCAATATGACACAAAAATCTTCACAAAATTTAAACTGTCACAAGAGTGAACATTCAGAGTATGCCGCTGTAGCCAGATCCACGCGTGGTATGATATATTACACGTTCCAAAATATTGCTTCCAACAAATAAAAAATTATTGAGGGTCCACCATGAAATACAAATTAAGTTACTGTATAATTATATGTCTCCACTTTTTCCATTCCACGGAATCTTCATATCTGCAAATCCGGCCCTACATACATACATAAGCGTTAAAAGGAAAAATAAATTTAAAAAATATATATATCACATTTGGATGTTTAACGATTTGCTCAGTTATTTGGTGATGAATTTAATATTTTTATGAAAATTTAGTGAAACTAATAAAAATATTGAAATAAGTTTTGTGAAATAACCCAAAAATACAGACTACAACAATACTTTAATATAAAACTTGAAATATTGAAAAGATTATGATTGATAAACATTGACAGAAATCAGACACATATAAAAGACTAAAGAAAAAACATATGAAGAATGATAAAGTGAAATATTTAAAAAAATGCAAATTAATTTTTTTGTTAAATTAAATTTTGGCAAAATTAAATTGTGGCAGAGATTGTTTATGACAGTTACTCAACTTGGACAGAAATTTTAAAATTATAAAAAAATATATTAACGTATATTGTCAATCAGAATTGATATAATATAAAAGTTACGGTAATATAAAGACAAAATTAATAAAAAAGTTTCATGAGTTTTGTCAAAATTATTTGGGGGTTGAAATTACTGCCAAGCAAATATTACAGAGTGATATCGATCTCACAGAGGCTGCATCTCAACACAGTGCAGATGAAATCATCCCAGGCACATTCTGGTAAAATTAGGTATTGCAGGCAGTAATTGTTGCCATTGGCAATTCCATTTGGTTCCCCCGAATACCACCCATAAAAACTTAAAGGTATATTGACGCCTGTTGAGAAATGTTTTTTCCAAATTTATACGTATTTGCGTTTCTATTTCAACCATCGTATCGATTTTTCTAATAAACAGAATAGAAGAGATTTTCCAGTTACAAATCAATTATAGTTAAACAGATACTAATTAAATAGACCGATTCTGTTTGAGTCATTTAAAAGTTGTGTCAACATACTTTGATAAAAATCGAGATTATTTAATAACAAAAAACTTGAAAAATATCTACACTGAAAATAAGCAATCACTAGCCAGGGAATGTGTTCCAAAAAAACGGTCTGGTTGAAGAAAATTTGTTGAGTTGGATGCCAGATGTCCCTACAGCGAAACCTTTAAAATTGGGACTCGACGACAGATCTTAGCAGGAAAGTGAAAAACAGGTATTGTTAACATTTTTTAAAAAAAACTTAGTCTTCAAAAAAAGATCGTACCCTTAGAAACAGATAGCGGGTACTTCAATGCAGCCAAATTTTCATATTCGTCTTCGACAGCCAACAGATGCCCAGACGCGTTGTTACAAGCCTTCCCAGCAGTGCTCCAATCCATTAAGTTGGTGACCATTGAATAACATTTGTGCACTTCGATTATGTAATCAAACGGTTTTGGACAATCTAAGTTATAAAATTTATTGAAGAATAAGGGAAGTTTTAGGGGAAAAAGATAATAAATTTAATTTTGAATGAAAACGTACTATTAAAAAATATTAGACCAATAAAAATGAATGATACAGAGTTAGCGATAAGTTTGAAAAATTGCTTTTTTTAAGTAGCATATTATAAATAAATAAATATAATAAATAATGGGCTTAAACGTAAGTTATATATGCCCATATCAAATAGCATTAAAAGACAACAAAAAGAGATCAAACAACAACAATGTTAATTTTATGATTATAGAGAAAATCTTTGTTGGCCTAATATAAGTCAAAATTAACCGTGAGAGACAAAAGCAAAACATGAAGCATTCAAATCAGCGGTCACATTGTACCAAAAGTTGTTCAACTTGGGAACACAGGTGCAAGATCTCATTGACGACACGTAGTTGATGCCTCTCAAGTTCTGCATCGTTGTTATCTGCCATCCATTGATGGGTTTGGTTTCGAATGGTTCATTATAGTAGTTAAAATTCAGATTAAATTTAACAGTTTCTCTATATAATAATTAATTTTTTAATGAAAATTGAAATAGTTTTGTCTTCCCACTCTAGAAATTCTGGAAAATTTTAATAATAAAAAACTCTTTGGTTTTAACATGAAACTTAAAAATTTCAAATTATAGGATGTTTTTTTTAACCAGTATATAAAAATAATTAAAAATAAGTTTCTGAATTGAAAATTAGATTTTTATCAGTTATAATCAAAATCGTGTATAAATGTATTGATACCAAACACTTCAGAATGCATTCCAATGACGAGGCAGCCTTCAACTTAGTAACGATATCCATGCGGTCATCGTAACAAACAGGTGACCTCTGACCACTGACTGCCAAGTAGCTAAATGCCCTGCTATAAATTCTTCCGTTCGTTTGACCACCGCAAACTATTCCAAATTGCAGGAGCGCACACATCAACATCAGCACCATTACTGCAATCTTGTTGCAATTTATGACGACAAAATTCTATCTGGGATTAATTCAAACCTATGTGCTCTGCAGAACTTATATTATTAAAATTTGCTGGTAGTGTTGAAAGCTGTCCTAACGTATACAATTATTGTGGGTAGTGTTCGTTTTCTTCTAATGGAGCTTTTGTAACGGTGAATGCGATAAATGCTTTTTGAAATGCTTTCTTCCATGGCTTTGTTTGTTAATCGTTTTTTTGAATTCATTTTAAAAATCTAGTGCTGCAGCTTTTAACTTTTTTATAGTGCTAATATCAAAGTTTCATGTAAAATAATTTCATCTAGTTGGTATGAGATATAAAATATCGTAATATCAAATGTTCATAAAAAAAAATCTCAGCATAAATATAAAACATTAATAAATATCAAATAAATAAAAATAAATTTCAAACGTTCAATTTTAAATAAATTAACAGTCTGGTTAGATGCAAATATCGATTGCTTAAATTTAGACATTTGTTTTCAGACTTAATTGTCCTGATAATTGCTATTGTCAGGTGCGACACCTGACAAATTTTAAACGCTGGCGTGGTCTGCGCACTTAAACCAAAATTTAAAAGTTGCACTGGTAAAAGCAGCATTGCATACTTTGTGCTTTAGTGTTCTGCTGAGAAGAAAATGTTCATATTTCACATTGTAGCATTTTTGAATTGAAGTTCTCAAATTCCATACAATCATCATCTTCTCTACTACCACATCACCCACCCACACACCTACCCACACACACACACACCTACCCACCCACACACACACACACACACACACAAACACACACACACGGTTAACAACATTATCATGGTCACAATCATTATCATCCCAATCATTATCATCCCAATCATACACGTGGTCAAAATTATCACCGCAATCATTTTCATCACCATCCTACATGCACACTTTTAGAATCATCATCTTCAAAACAATCTTACAATAAGACCTGATCATTGTACGTTTTAATATTCTCAATAGAAAGCGAGTTTATAGAAGTGTTGCCTAGAAAAACACTACAAAATGAATGACAACTACATTTTATATTATATCCTTCGGGTTTAAATACTTCCACACAAACGAATACCGTGATGGTAATGCCCTGGAGGAAACAAGTTAAAATATCTAATGAAGTTCTGCTGTTAACATAACATTAGTTAATTCATAGAAGTGACGAACTGTGCCTAGATGTGCTTTCGGTTTATTGAGTTTTTAAAACTCAGGTAATCATACTTTTAGAATTTTTTAATCATAAATTTAGAGAATCAATTTATCTAATATGTAACATTCCAATCATTAAAAATAATTCCAAATATTTTTAAAGTGTGACTGAAGAGATATCCAAACTGCTTCATGGATAATAAAAATTTTAAAATGTTTTCAGCAATGTACATCATAGACGGTTGATTGTCATCTGTAAATAATTTGTGAAAAACCTAGCAATCTTTTCATTCTTCGTGAATCCTCTCAACAAATCTGATGTCGAAAGGACTGGGATATATGGTTAATCCATACATTTCATTGGCAACAACCATGTCCTCTCCATCTGGTGGTAAGATTTGAAACTGCTGAATGAGTGTGGAAACCACGAGAAACAATTCCTGGCGGGCAAGTGGTTCTCCAAGACAGGAACGTTTGCCTGAAATATTTCAAAATAATTTCTATTTTTCCATTTTATCAAATAGCATATTCATTGAGAAATGAGTTAACTCACCGATGGAAAAAGGAATCACATGACTTTTGTTAACAATTTCGGTTCGGTCCTCATTCAGGAATCTTTCAATTCTGAACTTTTCTGGTTCATCCCAAACATCAGGATCCATGTGGGCACTGTACAAGTTTGCCAGGACTGTGACATTTTTGGGAATGAGCACCCCATCAACGACAACATCACTCAAAGTCATATGAGGAATGGCTAATGGTACAAGTGTTTTAATTCTCATCACTTCTAATGTACAAGCTTCGGTTATGAGTAACTTTGGCTTATCTTCGAGTGATGGGTATCTCTTGAGACCGACGACTCTATCCAGCTCATCTCTCATTTGCTGTTGCACGTCTTGGTGATTGGCCATGAAATAGAGAAACCAGAGAACCGTGTTTGCCGAAGTTTCTGTGCCCGCTATCATCAAGTCTCTTATCATTGTTTTGTGCTGCTCTTTATCAACTAATGTTCTCACATTTGAATCATCGGACTGAAGTTTCAACTCTTCTTCAAATTTTCTGCTAAACGTTTCCCCTCTGATGCCGTTTAAAATTGAATGAATATTTTTCTCTATAAATTGGTCCCATTTTTTCATGGCTTCAACAAGTTCCGTAAATTGACCTTTGAAGTACGGAACAAATCTCAAAACTGGAAAAAAGTTCAGAATGAATTTTTTCACAATTATGTCTGACAATTCAGTGATGTAATGAAACTCCGGATCATCAACGGACCATCGTTTGCCGTACAAAATGCTGCTGATCACATTGAAGAAAGTAGCAGTAACGTCTACAGATGGATAGAACGGTTGACCCTTTCTGACTTTTATTCTCTGAATGAGATGTTCCACCTCTGCCTTCACTCTTGATTCCATCATTTCCTGTCCTAATCCAAACGTTTTAAAAACATTTAGGCAAGCTTTGTGATGCTTTTTGAATTCTTCGTTGTACGGACATTCACCAAATCCTATATAAATATAAATATTTTTATTTTCATTCAAAAAATAATTTTGTTATACTTACCTCTTTGGTTTGGATTATATAAAGAGGTGAGATAGAAAGTTGGTCGACTGGCGAAGGCCAACGCCTTACCTAAAAAAGCTTTTTCGATGGTCTGCCGACCATTTAGAATCACCATGTACCTGATGATAACGTGACAAATGACAGAATTAGCATAAAGAAGCGGCAAAATTGATGCAGGTTATTAGTTTTCAAAAAAAAATTTATGTAGCAATTTTTTACTTTTGTCCCATATAAAAACCAATAATGTTTCCGATCTCTTTTGATTTATGTAAAAAATAGATGTGTAATCTTTTGGGATCGGAAATGAAAGGAAGCGATCCCAGCAGAGGAATATGAGGAAGACATGGAGGTGTTTTGATTTTCGAATCATCCTTTTGAGTTTTGTAGCACCTCTGTATAACTTTGCAACATAACAATGATATAACAAAAAATAACGCGTAAAGAGCAACTGTTATCATAATTGTTTTATTGAAAATATTTAAGAAACAAGTAAATAGATTTGTTATTAAATTCATCAAAAATATATCAGAAAAAAACAAAAGGATCTGTAATTAAATGAACTCCGCGGCTCGTAAAAGCAAAACAAAAAAATAAAGTACGTTTCAAGACATATTTTTCATTAACTTATATACGTTTGCACATAGAATTCATGACTCATAAGACTAATCCCCTAACGAAAATGTCTGCTTACCTAACTTAGAGAGTTGAAAATCTTTTGCGAACAACAAAAGCCAATGAACGAGGTTGATAACCAGAAATTAAAATGAATCATTGTAGAACTCAAGCCAGGCCTACAATATGTATGTGTGTTGTTTACACAACACACACACACACACCACATATCACTAACACACACACAAATATAAATGTTTGATTGTCATCTGTAGCAATCTTTTCATTCTTCGTGAGTCCTCTCAACAAATCTGATGTTGAAAGGACTGGGTAATAAAACTAATCCATAAACTTCATCGGCAACAACCATGTCCTGTCCTTCTGGTGGAAGGATTTGAAACTGCTGAATGAGTGTGGAAACCACGAGAAACAATTCCTGGCGGGCCAGTGGTTCTCCAAGACAAGAACGTTTGCCTGAAATATTTCAGAAAAATTACCTACTTTTTTAAAAAAATCATGTGTTTTTTTAATAAAATAACTCACCGATGGAAAAAGGAATCACATGACTTTTGTTGACAATTTCGGTTCGATCTTCATTCAGGAATCTCTCAATGTTGAACTTTTCTGGTTCATCCCAGACATCAGGATCCATATGGGCACTGTACAAATTTGCCAGGACTGTGACATTTTTGGGAATGAGCACCCCATCAACTTCAACATCCCTCAAAGTCATTCGAGGAAAGCCTGTTGGTGCAAGTGTTTTAATTCTCATCACTTCTAATGTACAAGCTTCGGTTATAAGTAACTTTGGCTTATCTTCGAGTGATGGGTATCTCTTGAGACCGACGACTCTATCCAGCTCATCTCTCATCTGCTGTTGCACGTCTTGGTGATTGGCCATGAAATAGAGAAACCAGAGAACCGTGTTTGCTGAAGTTTCTGTTCCCCCTATTATCAAATCAAATATCATAAATTTATGTTGTTCTTTATCAACTATTGTGCTCATAATCGAATCATCGGAAATAAGTTTCAACTCCTCTTCAAATTTGCTACTGAAAGTTTCACCGTTTTCACCGTTTATAATTGAATGAATTTTTTTCTCAATTAATTGGTCCCATTTTTTCATGCCTTCGACAAACTCTTTAAGTTGACCTTTGAAGTACGGAACAAATCTCAAAATAGGAAAACTATTCATAGGAAATGTTCGCGTAATTATGTTTGATAGTTTAACAAAATAGAGAAACTCCGAGTCATCAACAGACCATCGGTTGTTAAAAAGAATGCTGCTAATCACGTTGAAAAAAGTAGCTTTAAGGTCTAAAGATGGATCGAACGATTGACTTTTTCTGAGTTTTATTCTTTGAATGAGATGTTCTACCTCTGCTTTCACTCTAGATTCCATCATTTCCTGTCCTAATCCAAACCTTTTAAAAACATTTAGGCAAGCTTTGTGGTACTTTTTGAACGTTTCGTTGTACGGATGATCACCAAATCCTAAATAAATGTAAATAATTATGGGGCTTCCATTCAAAATACATATTTTTTACTTCAGCCATTCCTGACAAAACAAAAAATGTTATCTTTTTCAATTAAAAAAATATGTTAACTTTATACTTACCTTTTTGGCCGGGATTGTAGAGAGAGGTGAGATAGAATGTAGGGCGACTAGAGAATGCCAACGCCCTACCAACAAACGCTTTCTCGATTGTCTGCCGACCATTCAAAACAACCATGTACCTTGTAATAACAATATTAATAATAATGTAATTAGCATATACAATATAGTTAACCAAAAACCTTGAATAAGAATTGTTTACTCTTGTCCCATGTAGCAGCCAATAATGTTTCCGATCTTTTTGGATTGATTTAAAAAGTAGACGTGAAATCTTTTGGGGTCGGAAATAAAAGGCAGCGATCCGAGCAGTGGGATATGTGGAAGACATGGAGGCCTTTTAATTTTCGAATCATCTTTCCGAGTTTTGTAGCATCTCAAGATGATTCGATAACACATCCATGATGCAATGAAAGATCCAACATAAATTGTAATTGTTTCCAAAATTGTCATTATAAATTTTTTAAATAGTTCAAAAAACAATTATACCAATAAAATAAATTCTTTGCACTTCACAAACAAATTTTTTTAATTTTAGTTTCTTGCATAGATTGGAACCTATTCACATATACGATCGTACAAACTTATATAATATATATATATATTAGGTTATTTCTAAATATATACTTTGTGCAATACAAAATACAGTACGTCTGTGTATATACATACATATATTGATATATATATATATATATATATATATATATATATATATATATATATATATATATATATATATATAGACGTCTTAGATTCAGCGTACTCATCTCATAAAAACAAATTTTCAAACATTTATTAACACTGATTCTAAAGTCCAGAAGCTTTTTATTTTCAAAACCAAAAATTTGAACATTTATTTCCACATGTGAAAACACTTTTAAAACGTCAACCTACTGTTGACTATTGATCTTGCAGTCAGTAAATTTTTGGATGTTCACATTCAGTAAATGAATGAAAGAAAAGACAAGTTTTATACCATGATTTTTTTTTATTTAAGATAATAAACGGAATATTTTGTGAAAAAAAATTTTCATTGTGTTCTAACCTACAATACTTGCAATCTATGTTTGTGTGTGTGTGTGTGTGTGTGTGTGTGTGTGTGTGTGTGTGTGTGTGTGTGTGTGTGTGTGTGTACGTCTTTACAATTTTTTCCTGATTTAATACATGCTAGATGCCCCGATTGTTACAAACACAACCGTTCACCTCAGCCATTCCTCATATCATGGTGGTTAGTTGACGCGTGATAATACGAACAGTCATCTTCGTCGTTGTCATCATCATCAACATTGTCTCTATCACTTTCATAATCCGTACCATCATATAATCATCATCATCGTCATCATCATCATGGTGGTTAATGATGATATGATGATGCGTGTGATAACATAAACAGTCATCTTTGTCGTTGTCACCATTATCATTGTCCCTATCATTTTCATAATCCTTACCATCACATATCATCGTCATCATCATCATTATTATTATTATTTTTGTTGTTGTTGTCGTTGTTGTTTTTATTATTATTATTGGTAGTAGTAGTTGTTGTTGTAGTAGTAGTAGTAGCAGTAGTAGCAGCAGTAGCAGCAGTAGTAATAGTAGTAATAACATGATTAGTTGTAGTAGTAGTCACAAACTAACAAAAGTATTTATAACGTAAATTAAATGAAGAAGCTAGTATTAAAAGGTTTATACTTAGAGCCTCTACATATCCAACAGAAATAAAGTTTAAAATACACAAACAAACAAACAAGCACATACACAAACACACGCACGAACGCACTAAACACAAGCAAGCACACACGAAAATGCACTATCGCAAATTCATTCTCATTCAGAGAGCAATGGCAAAGAGCTAACACAAGAAATATTGCCTCAAATGTTGAAGAACATAAACTGTTCATATCATCATCACCATCATCATTATCATTCTCATCATCATTCTCATCATCATCATCATCATATCTACGAGTATCTACGTATCTTGATATCTATCAAGTATCTACGCCATTTACTTCTAAGTCATCATCGTTATTATGATTTTACTCCAGAGCAATTATTTATGAATCTTGAATTTATTATTGATCTTTTTTCGTAGTCGATATCTACGAAGCGCTTCACTGGCGCCAGTGTAATTAACATATTCGATTTCTATAAAATAAATTCTATTTTGTAAGAAAATTATATATATATATATATATGTATATATATATATATATATGCATATATATATATATATGTGTGTGTGTGTGTGTGTGTGTGTGTGTATTTGTGTGTGTATGGGCGTGTGTGTGTTTATTTGTAAGTGCGTGTATGTGTGCGCGTGTGTATAATGCATATATTTAGAATCTTTGAATGTTTGGGAATATACAGTAATACAAATCAATCAATCAATCAATCAATCAATTAGCTTATAAAGCGCTATTTCCGCGATGTTCAACAGCGCTCCTCAATGAATTTTGAAAACAGATGGGTCTTGAGATCCGCTCTGAACTTCGCAAGTGATGGAGAAATAGTTAGAGAAGTAGGTAGAGAGTTCCAGAGAAAAGGACCAGAAAAAGCAAAAGCAGATTTGGCAAAAGAGTGTTTAACACGAGTTAAGAAAAAGCGAGAAAAAGAAGACGATCGTAAACCGGGGCGTTTAGGTTCAATTAATATATCTGATAAGTACTTAGGAAATAATTTAGATTGAGACTTATACATGAACGTGCAAATTTTAAAAATTATTCTATATTTTATAGGTAGCCAGTGCAAGAGAACAAGATATGGAGATATATGAGAAAAGAAAGGGGCACGAGCAACTAGACGAGCAGCAGAGTTAAAAGCTTTACTTAAAGGATAGAGTATAGAGTCAGGAAGACCATAGTAGAGCGAGTTACAATAATCAATCCTAGATAAGACTAACGAAGTAACAAGAAGGAGAAGAGTAGGATCATCAAGAAAAGGCAAAAGTTTTTTTATTCTACGTAGATGAAAGTAAGAACTTCTAGCAACACTATTAATCTGAGAAGAGAGAGACATAGTAGAATCAAAGATAAAACCTAGACTACGAAACTTATGAGAGACATCAAGAGTTTTAGAATCAGGTAAGATAATAGGAGGAATAGTAATTGAGTGTTTAGATTTATTAAAACAAATTAATTCAAACTTAGAAGGATTAAGTTTAAGACACATAGAATCAGACCAAGCGATAATCGAAGAAAGACATAGAGATAAATTATGAAGAACACTATTGAGATTAGATGGAGGAAAAGAAGTATAAATATAAGAATCATCAGCATATAGTTGACTAGAGAAAGAAAAGTTATTAATAATACGAGGTAGTTCAGAAGTATAGAGTATAAATAGAAGAGGGCCAAGGATAGAACCCTGAGGTACCCCGAAAGTAAGAGAAGAGGAGTTAGATGTAGAATTATTGAGAACAACAGAAGAAAAACGATTACAGAGATAAGAAGAGAACCAAGATAGACAAGAATCAGTAATATTAAAAGAAAGATGCAGCAGTCTCAAGAGAATAGTATGGTCAACAGTATCAAAAGCTGAAGAAAAGTCAAGAGCAAGAAGAAGAGTAAGATTACTATTGTCACTAGAGAGAAGGATATCATTGTGTATTTTAAGTAAAGAAGTTTCAGTACTGTGAGCAGGTCTGAAACCAGATTGAGATACAGGTAGCAAAGAGTTAAAGTCTAAATAGGATGAGAGTTGATTAAAAACAACTTTTTCTATTATTTTAGAGATGAAAGTAATATTAGTTACAGGTCTATAATTAGATAAAGAGGTAGGATCTAGGGATGTGTTTTTAAGAATAGGAATAACAATAGAATTCTTATAAGAAGTAGGAAATTTAGAGGTGGAAAGAGATAAATTAACTAATTTGAGAATGATTGGATAAAATATTGAAGAGAATTCTTTAAGTAAATTGGAAGGAAGTAGATCTAGAGAACAGGTTGTAGACGACATAGAATTAATAATTTTAGTTAGTTCTAAAAGATTTATTGGAGTAAATACA